ATCTACTTACCACACAAGGTACTAAGATAGATGTGTGTTATTGGTTTCATCTACTTACCACACAAGGTATGAGATAGTTGTGTTTTTCCTGTTCGGAACTCTCCAAACGCTTCTGTAATTGCCATACTTTCAATACCACCACCTAAAAGCTTACTGGAGAATATGATGAGATATCAGTTAGTATTTGATGTGTCAAAGAATACTGTAGGATAACGAACTCGGATATATATATATATGGAAAACAACAGCTTTGAATGTGAATCACCTATTTTTCATTAACAACAGTGAGGCATTGTATTCCAAGAGAAACATCCTTGTATATTACAATGTGCACCCCACACATTTTTTATAAACAAATGTAACAATGCTAAAATAATAAATAAAAACTTGGGATATATGTATCACGGATTTACCGACTTTGAAAAATGTATGGAAAACTCACTCACCAAGGATAACTCAAAACTGTAAGTTTCTTAGTTATTGAAAGACAAACCAATGCAGTTCATCCTGTGGTCCAATATATTGTGTACTTACTCGAATTCCTGGCTTCCTGTGGTAATTTTAAAAACTTGTTTACGCTTCTCACACACTTCAAAAGCTGTCAAAAAGCTAGGTTCCTAAAAACAAAAGGAAGGCCACTAAGCTAGGTGATAGGTACGAATTATCATGTAACTTGGTCTCATATTTGATGAATGGTTAAAGAAGCTTCCTTCGTGAATAATTTTAAATAGTAGTTCAACTATTACATTTGATATGTGCCTTCTGTATTATTAATATTAAAACAGTTTTAATCAAACAGTTAATATTTTGAATCTTTCGTTATCACCTTTACTGTGTTTTAAAAAAAGAAAACTTTCCGGGAGTATTTAGTTGCTATTTAATATAATATATGAGTGTATTATGTTTTTCAAAGTACATCTTTAGTGAATAAATTCAATATTTACCCCAAGTTTAGACGCAACGTCTTTGATTTTTTCTACCTTGGCCTCTGATAATCCTTTTATTGCACAAAGTCTTTTTTTTGTGGACATTAGAATACCCTTGAAAGAAACCAGGTGAAATCATTAAATTAGGCTTAATTAAATAATTTTGTCTCAAACATAAATCAACAATTTTTTTATGAGTGACCGAAACTAAACAAATTTTCAATTATTAAAAACCTGCGAAGTATTAATAAAACTTGTGTATAGTATCTAGCACAGAAACAATACAGTAGAAAAACACCTGCCCCCCAGTGGCACAGCGGTATGTCTGCGGACTTACAACGCTAGAAACCGGGTTTCGATACCCGTGGTGGGCAGAGCACAGATAGCCCATTGTGTAGCTTTGTGCATAAATTCAAACAAATATAGCGTTTCTACAATATGATTATAAGAAAAATTCTATCAATTTCTTTTGATAATTTATGATTGGTAAACAGCCGAGACCCGTTACTATATAATATTTATGATTGGTAAACAGCCGATACACGTTACTATATAATATTTATGATTGGTAAACAGCCGAGACCCGTTACTATATAACATTTATGATTGGTAAACAGCCGAGACCCGTTACTATATAACATTTATGACTGGTAAACAGCCGAGACCCGTTACTATATAACATTTATGATTGGTAAACAGCCGATGA